GCAACCAGTAAAATAACAAAGAACATGCCAGTGAAGGAGATAAGATTGAATTATAAAAATACTCAGTTAATACAAAAGGAGTCAGAGAATGAGGAGAAATGGAACAAAGAATAGATGAGACAAATACAAAACAAGTAGCCAAATGGCAGATTTAAACCCAACCAAATCAATAATCACATTAAGTGTAAATGGTATAAGTACCAGAATCAAAAGTCAGAGATTGTCATATTGGGTTAAAAAAAAAAAAGCAGGACCCAACTGTATGCTGCCTACAAGAAACATACTTTAAATATAAAGACACAAATAGGTTAAAAGAATAAGAGGAAAAAAAGGTATACTGTGCTAACCCTAATGAAAAACTAGCTGGAGTGGCAATATGAATATCAGACAAAGTAGATTTCAAAGCAAAGAATATTTCCAAGAATTAAAAGATCATTTCATAGTGATAGAGGTATAAATACATCAAGAGAAAATTAAAATGCTAATGATGTATGCATTTAATAACAGGATTTCAGTGAACGAAGCAAAAACTGATAGACAAATCTACAATTATAGTCTGAGATTTCAGTGCTCCTTCTCAATACTTTTTTTTTAAACATCTTTATTGGAGTATAACTGCTTTACAATGGTGTGTTAGTTTCCGCTGTATAACAAAGTGAATCAGCTATACATATACATATATCCCCATATCTCCTCCCTCTTGTGTCTCCCTCCCACCCTCCCTATCCCACCCCTCTAGGTGGTCACAAAGCACTGAGCTGATCTCCCTGTGCTATGCGGCTGCTTCCCACTAGCTATCTATTTTACATTTGGTAGTACATATAAGTCCATGCCACTCTCTCACTTCGTCCCAGCTTACCCTTCACCCTCCCTGTTTCCTGAAGTACATTCTCAACGTCTGCGTCTTTATTCCTGTCCTGCCCCCTAGGTTCTTCATAACCTTTTTTTTTTTTCAGATTCTATATATATATATGTGTTAGCATATGGTATTTGATAGAACCTATAGACAGAAAAATAGTAAAGATATAGAAGACTTGAAAAACACTTATCGTATAACTTGACGTAACTGACATTTCAGAACACTCCACCCAACAATAGAACATGCATTCTTTTCAAGTGCATATGGAATATTTACCAACAGACCATATTCTGGAATATAAAATAAGTCCCCATAAATTAAAAGGATTGAAATCATACGAAGTTTATTCTCTGACCACAATGAAATTAAATCAGAAAACAATATCACATAGTTGTCTAGAAACTCCTTCAAATATTTGGAAACTAAATAATGTTTTTCCAAATAATTTATGCATCAAGGAAGAAATCAAAATGGAAATTAGAAAGTATTTTGAACTGAATGAAAATAAAAACTCAACATTTCAAAATTTGTGAGACACTGCTAAAATAATATCTAGAGTGAAATGTATAGCATTAAAGCCTTTATTTAATAAAAGAAAAGATGAAAGATCTCAGGTCAATGAGTTCAACTTCCACCTTAGGAAATTGGAAAAAGAAGAGCAAATTAAACCCAAAGGAAGCAGAAGAAAGGATATAACAGGACTTCCCTGGTGGCACAGTGGTTAAGAAGCCTCCTGCCAATGCAGGGGACATGGGTTCGAGCCCTGGTCTGGGAAGATCCCACATGCCACAAGCAACTAAGCCTGTGTGCCACAACTAGTGAACCTGTGCTCTAGAGCCCACGAGCCACAACTACTGACCCCGTGCACCACAACTACTGAAGCCCACGTGCCTAGAGCCCATGCTCTGCAACAAGAGAAGCCACCGCAATGAGAAGCCCACACACCACAATGAAGAGTAGGCCCCACTCGCTGCAGCTAGAGAAAGCCCACGCGCAGCAACAAAGACCCAATGCAGCCAAAAATAAATGAATTTAAAAAAATAAATAAAATCTCTCACAAATTTGTTGAAAGGCATAAACAAGTTAATAAATGCAAAATGTTCAGTAATGTGAGTGCCCAGCACAAAGTAAGCACAAATAAATATATGTTAAATAAATTTTTTTAAAAAGGATATAACAATGAGAGCAGAAATAAACATAATAGAAAACAGAACAATAAAGAAAATCAATTTAACCAAAAGCTAGTTCTTTAAGAATATAAATAAAATTGATAAACCTCTAGCCAAACTGATCAGGAAAAAAAGAGACATGACACAAATTCCCAATATCTGGAATGTGAGAGGTGACATCAGTACAGATTCTACTAATATTAAAGGAAAGTAAGGAAATACTATGTACAACTTTACGCCAATAAATTTGACAACTGTTTTAAAAACTGAATTTGTAGTTACAGCTGCAGCCCAGAAGACTTCATAGGTAAATTCTACCAAATATTTAAGGAAATAAAGAAACCAGTTCTACCCAAACTCTTCTAGAAAATTGAAAAGGAAGAAATCCTTCCAAACTCATTTTGTGAGACCAGCATTACCCTAATACTAAAACCAGTTTTTAAGTCTATAAGAAAAGAAAACTACAGACTAACCTCCCTCATGAGCATAGACGTAAAAATTCGTAACAAAATGCTAGCAAACTGAGTCCAGCAATGTATAACAGGGCAAATATATCATGAACAAGTGGATTTTATCCTAGAAATGCAAGGTTGGTTTAACATTCAAAAATCAATCAATGTTATTTACATTATTGACATACTAAAAAAGAAAAACTATGTGACTATCTCAATAGATGCAGGAAAAGCACTTGGCAAAATTCAGCATCCATTCCTGATTTGAAAAACAAATTAAAAAACCTCCCAGAAAAATAGGAATACAAAGAAACCTCCTCAACTATATAGGGGCTTCTATGAAACACCAATAGTTACCATCATAAATAACAGTGAAAAGCTCAATATGTCCCCCATAACTCTGGGAACAAGGGGAGAATGTTTGCTCTTACCATTTATACTCAACATTGTACTGGAGGTTCTAGACAATGCAGTAAGGCAAGAAAAAGATTGGGAAAAAAGTAAAATGTCTTCATTTACAGACAATATTATCTTCTATATAGAAAATCTGTGGAATCTACCTCCCACCCCACCCAAAATTTAAAAAAGGCTATGGGAACGAATAAGCAAGTTAGGCAAAGTTGCCGGATACAAGATCAATACAAAAATCAGTTATATTTCTATATGCTAGCAATGAAAAATCAGAAATTTAAGTTAAAAACAAAACCATCTATAATTGCGTTAAAAATACTTATATCTAGTTATAAATCTGACAAAAGATGTGACCTTGGTTTGTACAAAGATTTTTTAGATATGACACCAAAAGCATGATCCATTAAAGAAAAAATTGCTCAACTGGACTTCCTCAAATGAAGACTTTCTGCTTTTGGAAAAACACTGCTAAGAGAATAAAATGACAAGCTACAGACTTGGAGAAAACAGTTGCAAATCACACATCTGATAAAGGACTTTAATTAAGTATATTAAGGAACTTCCAAAACTCAATAATAAGGAAAAAAACCCAGTATAAAATGGGCAAAGAATCTACCTCTCCAGAGAAGATAAATAGATGGCAAATAAGCACATGAAAGATTCTCAGTAGCTTCAGTCACTAGAGAAAAGCAAGTTGAAAACACAAAGAGATTCCACAGTGTACCTATTAGAATGGTCAAAATTAGAAAGATTGACCATACCACGTGGTGACAAGGATGGGCAGGAACCGGACTCTCATACACTGCCATTGAAAATGTGAAATAGCACAACTGCTTTAGAAAACAGGACCATTTCTTTAAAAGTTAGACTTACACATACCAAATGATCCATCCATTCTATATCTAGGTGTTTACACAAGACAAGTGAAAGCATATGTTCATACAGAGATTTATATACTAATCCATAGCAGCTTTATTTGTAATAACCAAAAACTGGGAAATACCCAAATATCCATCAATAGATGAATGGAGAGGTGCACGGGAGAGGTTGTTAAGGGACATAAAGAGACTTTTGGTGGTGAAGGATATGTTCATTGTCTTGATTGTGATGATGGTTTCACTGTTGAATGTATATGCCAGAACATATCAAGTTGCACAGTGTAAGTATATGCAGTTTATTGTATGTTAAAACTCTTTAAAAAAATAAACAATAATAAAATAATAAAAGAAAGTGAGACTCACTATTGGAATTCATACTAGTGTAAATATTACTGGAAAACTGTTGTGTAAGTTAGAATTTTTTTTTAAATATCAGTACATCAATGGACACTTTTTAAAGCAAAGAACCCTTTCGTAAAAGTAATCTTCACTATTGAATGCATCTGTTTTTTTGACTCCTGATGCAATATATTGTGTTTCCTTAAAGAGGATGTACATCCAGTCTGCTGGGATAACAGCAGCACATTTGCACTTCTTTTCAAGAGCCTTTCATGACAACAGTAGCATCATGGTGGCCATGCTTTGTCTTGAAGTGGCGGAGGGCAGTTGCGATAGATAGCTGGCTACATCCACTCCTTCGTACACATTCCGTTTAGTTCCCGTGTTAAATTACGTATTGTGATTAGATATTTACTCTGCTTGGCATCTTAGCCAAATTTCAGCCTAGGAACTTACACGTGCTTCATCCAAGGCAGCACTGACAATACTTCAGAATGAGTCATATCCTCTTAACACAAAGCTCAGTTAATACTTGCACTGCGACTCTGTATGTGTGAAAGTTCCCTTTCAGTCCACTAACAAAATTAAAACTACCAAGTTTTAAAGTAGGTATGCATTTTGAATGTTTTGGGTGTTCCATTAAAGGACCTGGCTTTGTTTCCGCGTGGTAAAAGGACTCAGTAAGAGGAAAGGAGAGAAGTCAGCCACAGAACACAACCTTCCAGATGTTTTCTGAGCTCACAGTGCTAACTGCGCGTAAGATGCTAACGGGCAGTTCTGCTTCTTTCGCCCTGGCTCAGGGCGGTGACTCCCAGGCGCTCAGCATCCTTTCTCACTGTGTCTCTCTGACTCAGGGAGCCGTGATGACCCAGGCTTGCTTGCTTTCTTTCAGGGTGTGAACGGCATGTCTGTGGATGAGAAGCCTGACTCCCCCATGTATGTGTATGAGTCCACAGTCCACTGCACCAACATCCTCCTGGGCCTCAATGACCAGCGCAAAAAGGATATTCTCTGTGACGTGACTCTGATCGTGGAGAGGAAGGAGTTCCGGGCCCACCGAGCTGTGCTGGCCGCGTGCAGTGAATACTTCTGGCAGGCGCTGGTTGGACAGACGAGAAATGACTTGGTGGTCAGCTTGCCTGAGGAGGTACAGTAGTTTGGTTTGTTCGTGCAGTTGCTAACGGAGGTTTGTTGACTTGGAGACAGTTGGCTGAGGAGGACCTGGAAGGTAGGACCTGTGCCACATCCCTGCTTGGGGGCTGATGATCAAGTCGCCCACATGTTAGGTTTGCGGCAGAGCCAGTTTCTATTGGATGCATTTCACGTCTCAGAGGCAAGAATCTGAACCGCACCTGTGCCTCACGGTCCTTCCTAGTTTCTAGTTCACTTACTCTTCGGGTTTTGAGTAGTTTACCCAAAGTTTAGTACAGTCCTGCATGTGGGATCTCAATCACTGGGACTGTTGCTATGATTTTTCTCTTTCAGATGGTTGAAGGAACACTTGATTTCCCTTGAGAGTAAAAGAATGAAAGTATTCACAGCACCTTCCTTGCCCAGGGGGAAGAGTAAAAGCAGGCAGTCATTTTCACAGTTAACATAGTAAGATTCTAAGAAGTGTAAACTTGCTTTTCTCACCATCGTTGAAAATACCCTACTCAGGTTTCTTAATTACTTCAGGGCGTCTAGTCACTTCTGTACTTTGGGGACACTAGTAGCTGGACTTGTTCTGTCCAGAGATGACATACAGTTGGATGGTTTGAGCTGCCAGAACTCAAAGGATGGGCTTCATGCCGACAAACCATTAAATTGGCCACCCCTTTGAACTGTCTATACAGCTACTCTTTTTCCATCATCCTGATTCCCTTTCATTTTTGTGGGACTAAGGGTAACACTGAGCAGCTTTAGGCTTTGTGTTCAAGGCCAGAATCATTCTCTGTGCGCCAGCACGGTCTACAACACCAGGGCTGCCCTGACAGTTGTGCAGGCTGTGCACCGCGCAACTCTTAGGGGTACAACTCATGTTCATAGCCTATGTGAAGAGAGACCCAGAGTTGTGCCGTGATCCACAGAGCAGCTCTTCACAGCACCCCTAGGAGAAACCAAAGACCGGGTCACCCTGAGGGAGGTGCTAATGGGCACAACTAGCATTGTCTCAGGGTTCACAGATCCAGTGTCTCCAGAGGCCTGGCAACTCATATAAATGAGTAAAGCAGGTTGTGTGTAAGAAGTAGGACATTGTGGCTTCCCTGGTGGTGCAGTGGTTGAGAGTCTGCCTGCCGATGCAGGGGACATGGGTTCGTGCCCTGGTCTGGGAAGATCCCACATGCCGTGGAGCAGCTGGACCGGTGAGCCATGGCCGCTGAGCCTGAGCATCCGGAGCCTGTGCTCCGCAACGGGAGAGGCCACAACACTGAGAGGCCTGCGTACCGCAAAAAAAAAAAAAAAAAAAAAAAAGAAGTAGGACGTGGTGGGGCAAGCAGCTGCTCCACAGAAAGACATTCAAGTTCAACATAAAAAACAAATAGACATACACGCTACTGTATATAAAATAAACAAGGAAGCTAGGGTAGCTTTATTGATACCAGTCAAAATAGACTTTAAGACAACGTTATTTGCACAGGGAACTAGATTCAATATCTTGTATTGAACCTATAATGGAAAAAAATCTAAAAAACAATATATATATATCAGTATATATTCATAAATATAACTGAATCACTTTGCTATTCACCTGCAACATTGTAAATCAACTATTCTTCAATTTTTAAAAATTCATCTATACCCCCCAAAAAAAACCAAAAATAGACAGGGGGTCAGAGGGGTCACCAGATCCAGTCCCCTGTTAAGAAATGTCTGCTGTTACCCCTGCAGAGCAGGAAAGTGGCAAAGTGAGGGCTACATAGGCAGTTTCACATGAATATTCTTTGTTATGTACCCAAGTGAAGGGCTCCATTACTACCCCTCACACCACTGTCAAGTAGAAAGATCCTAATACTAGAAACAAAAGGACAAATCAGTTGAAGATAATGTAATTGGGGCTGGAGGAGGGAGGGATGCTTATGTACCAAGTGATGTGGGAAGGCCAAGAAATGGCAGCTGTGGTGTGACTGGTGATCCTGAGCTGCATTAATGGGCAAATACTTAACCCGTCATTAGGTGAGAGGATAAATATAAAAGACTATGTTTAAACTGGTTGGCGTTCGTCAAATTTAAGACTCTTCTTCTCTTGAGGGGCAGCAAGTGTGCCTTTGAATTTACTTTAACTCTAGAATTCTCTGAAAATATCTGACAAACTTCCAATTATCCTGAATGGTTTTAGGAAGGGGGTGGAGTTTACAGTTAATTTATTATCTGTATCTGTTTGAGAGTCACCTCATATATGTTTTCTACTAATTTCCAAAAAAAATAGATTATATTAAAATATATTTACAAATGAAAACCATAATTTATGTAATTTAGTCTCTCTTCCATGACTGCAGTCCCCATCTGGAGACGCCCTGGACCTTGTGCCGTAAACACTGGCCTTCCCCCCAGTTAGCTCTGTGATCCTGATCTAGTCACTTAACCTCTCTGAGCCCCAGTTCTTACCTGTAAAAACCCCTAAAATGCTGAAGCCCTTAAATTATTTATCATAATACAATACCAAGGCAGTAAAACCTAACCTAAACATTTCTTTTTAGGTCAAATCCCCGATAATCACTTATTTCCTTGGCACTGGGCACTCTTTGAAGTAAGAGTGTGTAGATGACACACAAAAGTCTGCTGTTTGCCCTTTTGATTGTTTGTGTTCCAGTTAAGTGAGAGTTTGCTACGTGTTGATTTTCTTTCTAGTTGTGTAAAATGATGTCTATTCCTATATCATCTGTATTTCCAAATAATTAAAACATTCTGGTTCTTCATGTACCTGAAACCTTCAGAAATAACGAGACACTTTTTTTTTTTCCTATGAAATGTGAATTCGTATTGTCAGTAACCCAGCTCCAGTCATCCTGCTGATGGGCATGCAGGCCAGCCCCCACGGGGCATTTTCCTTTGTGGGTCTGTAATTGTTTCTGAGGCCTCCTTCCAGGAGCCTCTGCCTCTGCTCAGAGGCCCCTCCTGGGGCCCCAGGCGCTGGGCATTGTTTTCTCTCCTTGCTGTGTGCACACTGAAAGGTCCTTGCAGGCTCTCAGATGCTGTCCCACTTAGCTCAGTGAATGACTTCATAGAATTTGAATTAAGTGGTGAATAAACAAACATCCCAAACACTACCTTGGAAAGTAGCTGCATGGAACTCACTGGCATTTGGTTCATATGATGTAAGAAAAAGCATTTGATTAGCTCCTTGGAAATCTTTAAACTTCATCATAATCCATCACGAATTCAAATCACCTTCCGGCCCGGTCCCAGCCTTGATCACGCTTGGCTTACCTCTGCGCTCCCTGCCCGGCCAACTGCTGAGCTTCACAGGGGCCGGCATGGCTGAGTCTGAAAGCTCCGTCCGTGGGTTATGTTTCTTTTTTTTTAATATTTATTTATTAATCTGGCTGTGCTGAGTCTTAGTTGCGCGTGCGGGATCTTCGTTGCAGCACACGGGCTCCTCAGTTGCAGCATGCGAACTCTTAGTTGTGGCACGCATGTGGGATCTAGTACCCTGACTAGGGATCGAACCCGGGCCCCCTGCATTGGGAGCACGGAGCCTTAGTCACTGGACCATCAGGAAAGTCCCTGAAAGCTCTGTCTTTGGACTAGGAAACTTCCAGATACAAACCACTGCCCTTCTCACTCCCCTGCTCTGTCAGTTTAGGCCAAACCCGGCTCCAGCCTGCAGCCGCTGTCCACTTGTGCAGTTCTAGCCCCGTGCCCTGACTCCCGATGGGCAACGCCGTTACCCACAAAGTAGAGCCGACCAGAGTCCTGGTGTAGCCTCTCAGCTGAAAACGGGAGAGACAAAAATAGAGGCCTCCTCCTGGAAGTCAAGGAGTCATGGAATTGTCTTGCTTTTTTTTTCTTTTCCTGAACTGGCATGACAGATTGTCCCTAGGATTTCTGTGACTTGAGTGTTGGTTTCTCATGGAAAAGCACATCCAGGGATGTGTGTCAGCAAAATGCAGGAGATAAGGCATTGTCCTTAGTACTTCTGTTCGTGATGAAACAGGTCATTTGGTTTGTAATAGCAAGCGTATTTCGTGTTAAGAGATGAAGAGAAAGTGGGTCGTGTACCAAGCGTGGCAAGGCCCTTCTTGCGCTGCTCCTTCGGATTCAAGCTGCCTCAGTGAACACCTCCTCAGCTATGGTCACAGAGACCACTTAGGCTGGATGCCGGCCATGCTGGAAGTGGCATCACAAGCATGATGTTAAGGTTATGGTGTGTCAAGTACAGAGGGCAGGAAAGGGGTGCAGCTTTGCCCATCAACCCCATTCTGATGGGCTGCTCGACTCCCACCCAGAATGCTAGGGAAGAGCGGCTGAAAGGAGGTTATTGCCAAGATCTATTATCAGAAAGTCAAAAGATAAAAAGTGTTGGCCAGGATGTGGAGAAAAGGGAACCCTTGTGCACTGTGGTAGGAATGTAAATCAGTAGAGCCACTGTGGAAAACAATATGGAGGTTCCTCAAAAAATTAAAAATAGAGCTACCATACGATCCAGCAATCCTGCTTCTTGAGTCTATATCCAAAGGAAATAAAATCACTATCTCAAAGAGATGCCTGCACTCCCATGTTCATTGCAGCATTATTCACAATCGCCAAGACATGGAAACAACCTGAGTGTCTGTCAGCAGATGAATGGATAAAGAAGACGTGGTCTGTATATAAACACACACATACGTACGCACAAGTAAATATTATTCGGCCTTTAAAAAAAGAAGGGAATCCTGCTATTTGCAGCAACACGGATAAACCTGGAGGAAATTATGCTAAGTCAAATAAACCAGACAGAGAAAGACAGATATTGCATATTCTCGCTTATATGTGGCATCTAAGGAAAAAAAGTCAAACTCATACTAACAGAATTGAATGGTGGTTACCAGAAGCTGGAGGGTAGTGCAAAAGGAGAGATATTGATCAAAGGGTACAAACTTTCGGTTATAAGATGAATAAGTTCTGGAGACCTAATGTACAGCATGGTGAGTGTAGTTAATAATAACGTATTATGGGAACTTCCCT